GAACTCTAATATCATAAAATTGGCCCATATCTTTCTCGTTTCGACTTTGATATTTGATATTTGACACCTGTTTTAGATATTTTTTATATTTTTTATTTATGAGCATCTTACAATTAAAAAAAAAGTAGTGAAATAATATTCTTTATTGTAAAGCTGTTTGGTACACAACGTTTTTCGTTTTCCTATCAGGAGCAAGAAGATATAAGTTCTTTCCAGTTCCCACTCTTGAACATGCCACATAAAGTTGACCATGAGAAAAGCAAGGAGTTTCTAAATTGACACCAGCAACTTTAAGTGATTGTCCTTGAGACTTATTGATGGACATCGCGAAGGCAAGACGTATTGGAAACTGAAGTCGCTTAAATGGAATTAGGTCATCAGTAGGGATGAGGGGTATTCTTGGTATGAATACATCCTCACCTTTTGCACAACCTGTCATGATCGTTGCTTCGATTACATGAGGCATTAGAGTTTTGACACATAGTCTTGTACCATTGCATAATCTTGGTGCATCCAGATTTCTCAGAAGCATAATGGAAGAGCCAATTTTAGCTGTAAGTTGTGCGTTGGCATTCCAGATGGTTCCAGCGAATTTAGAAACTCAGTCGGATACCGCACTGCTACATCGACATTTGTAGTTGTATCAATTGACTTATAAGATTTAGTTTCTCCAGGAAGCTGTTGTTGTATTTGTAGATTGATAGTATTCACGTTCACGTTTTTTGGGAGCTAGAATAGCACGTTCACATAACCATGTATGATCCTTGAAATGAGTTTGGATATTCGGAAACACACTATTCTTAAGTTCTTCGACCGATTTAACGACGTTACAAAAGCTATCTGGAATACTAATGAGTCCATTGGCTGGATCAGCTCGTATTTTGCCATTTCCGATCTCGAGTAGTTGTTTAGCAAACTGACCGGCAGATACGTCACCTTGTAACGCAACTCTCATGTTGGTGGTAAGTGTTAGTACTTTAACATGTCTCCAGAGATGTGAAGATTTCAAGCAAACTTTGAGCTCATCTGCCATTGTACCTTTTTTCAACGACGGGTAATGTTTGCCTAAAATCTCCAGCAAGGAGTACAACTACTCCACCCATATCATTTCCATTACCACGAAGATCTTGTAGAGTATTATTTAATGCTTCTAATGCATACCTCTGAGCCATTGTGCACTCGTCCCATACAATAAGTTCACATTCTTCTAAAATCTTTGCTTCGCCAGTTCCTTTGCGAATACTACACAGATGACGGTCATTGTGCACAAACTTGAAAGGCAACCGTAATGTTGAGTGAGCAGTGCGACCACCTTGAAGCAGCGTAGCAGCAATACCCGAAGAGGCGACTGCAATCGCAATTTTTTGAGTCTTTTCGAATTTTAGCCAAGAGTAAATTGATGACAAAT